TGTAGACCAGGCTGGCCTCGAACTCAGAAATCCACCTGCCTCTGCCTTCCAAGTGCTGGGATTAAAGGCGTGTGCCACCACTGCCCTACCAACGTTTGTTTGTTTGTTTGTTTGTTTGGGTTTTTTGAGGCAGTGTCTCTCTGCATAGCCCTGGCTGTCTGGAACTCATGATGTACACCAGGCTGCAGCCAGCACAAGCCTCTCTGGCTGGTCAGCCCTGTCTAGGGTGCTGACACTGTTCCCCTCAGTGGTCTGCAGCGAAACTCCTGGAACCTTCCTGAACCCTCATCTGCTCTTCCTTCCCACAGGAGCAGCAGCCTCCACTTCTCCTTCCTGACTCTGGACAAACACCGGGAGTGGCTGGAGTACTTGCTAGAGTTTGCTCAGGATGCAGCCCCAATCCCAAACCAGTACGACAAGCACTTTATGGAGCGAGACTACACTGGCTATGTGCTGGCCCTGAATGGCCACAAGAAGTATTTCTGCCTTTTCAAGCCACTAAAGACCGTGGATGAGGAGACTGTGGGCTCCTGTGACCCTGACTCCTCCCGAGGGAAGCCTCCCTGTGGCCTTGGGCCCAAGCCCCTCAAAGGCAAGCTGAGCAAGTTGTCCTTGTGGATGGAGCGCCTGCTGGAAGGCTCCTTGCAGAGGTTCTACATCCCGTCATGGCCTGAGCTAGACTGAGCCGAGGACTTCAGTTTATAACGTGCCCCAGGAGCAGGGATTTTTCAAGAGTCTTGATTTTAGATTTCTCTTCTAGAGCAATGGCTAGAAGACCTTTCCTTTGTCACCTAGGAGTAAAATGCACCGCAGGTTTGATCCCTAGACGAAAATCTTCCCCTTTGGGTTTTCTTACCCCTGGATGAATGCCGCACTACTTAAGTAGACTGGCCAGCCCCACTTCTTTGCTGTCCCCGTAACATGCTCACACCCCTGTCCTTACATTGGAGAAACCCAGGGCTTGACCCTGAGCCGTGCCTGGATGAACCTCAGGATCTTCATGAGCCTGTCATATGGGGTGGGTCACTCACCTCTCTCCAACCCCCTGAAGCAGGCTCCTGCTGGCCCCTGCTTAACCTCTGCCAAGGTGCGTGCTCTCAACACGGAACAGCCCACCATGGCTTCTAGGTCCTCCATCCTCGAAAGAGGCCTAGTTGTAAGCCCTTTGCCATGTGACTGTGCTTCTGGGAGCAAGCTTTGAGAAGTATATTTTGGGGGTATCCTCCACAACAGTTGGCCAATCATGGTTTTGAGAAGAAAGGGGTGAGCAGAGGTGAGTGTGCAGCATTCACATTTGGTCTCCCCACTGAGAGAGGAGGGGAGGGTGAGCACTGGCTGGAGGTGCACAGCCCTGTGAGCCTGCGTGAGTTTCCCTTGTCCGTCCCCATCCCTCACCGCACTCCTGTCAGCACACCACAGCCAGGGCCTTGCCAGCCCTGGGACTGAGCTGCTGACTTGCCTCCAGAAGCCTTTTTGCCTCTGGATTTTAGAGTTTGATACTAGGAGCCATATCCTGTGATCTTGTTCTCTGAGCGTAGATAAGCTGCTCTGGAGCCAGTAGATTTAAGATGGCAGCACGTATTCCTGTCCACCAAGAGCTAGTGCAGGAGCCCTTCCTGCCTTGCTCTCCAGTAAAACGCCAGGCGTGTCTTCATACCAAGGAACCTGACCTCTCTGACAATTGCATTTTGAACATTGTTATCCCCAAAGAGCTGAATCTTCAAGTTGTCTCTTGTGACTGTGAGGGGAGACTTGTCCGGACTCCTGTCCAGTAGGCAGCTAGCTTCTTACTTCTGGCGTCTCTGCTTTATCGTTTCCTCCTTCCCTTCCTGCTGCTTCCTGCTGCCAGATCAGACCCATCAGCTCCAGCTTGCCTGGCTCTACACACCTTGGGCTCAGGGCCGGATCATGCTCGCCCGCTCAGGGGCGTACCCTTTGTTTTTAGAGCCAAACCATGAGGGGAGTTTGGACAACTGTCACACATGGTGTGTTCTACTGTCAAGCAAGTGCCCTTTTGTAAAGTGAAGGGCACAAATCAGGGACCGGACATTCACTCAGTGAGTATTCTCCAGTTGTAATTGCTTTGAACCAAGCACCTCGGATCCTGACTACTTTAAACACTGAGCTCCAGTGGTAAGTGATAAATTATTTGAACCCAGGAACTCTGTAGTTTTCAAAGAGTCTTTAGCTTTATTAAAAAAATAAAGAAAACACTGCCAGGCTTCATTCTTCCATCTGACCCTCTAGAAGTACATGCCGATTCGTGAAGCTGCTTCCCATGTGCCTGGCCCAGCTAGAAAGGGTGAAGGCAGTCTTGGGTCCTCAGTGCCCAGTCCTCCAGATGTGTTTCTGGGGGCTGTTGGGGGCTGAGGTGAGCTGGAGTAGAACACTTGCCTTCAAGAATAAAACCTGAGTCCCACCCCCCACCATCACACACACAGATGGTTTCTCTATTTTAATGGCTGGGCTCCTCTTATGAGTTTATTTTAACTCATTGATAGATTTTTGTCTTTACTTTTCTGAAACTGGTAAAATTCCTTGACATGTAATTTCTGAAAACCAAAAACTCCCCAGGTGTTTGTTCTTTTCTCAAAACCGTACCAAGAAGATAAATTGTCTTTCTATTCGTGGAGGCAGAGAGGAGTGGGGACAGGATTGACTAGTCCCTGCAGACCTGATGGGGATGGGTGTCTCCCAAGGACACCATGGAGCTTTGATTTGATTGCTTGCTTTAAAACAAGAGTCTGACTATGTAGCCCAGGCTGGCCTCCAACTCAAGGCCCTCCTTCCTCAGCCTTCCAAGTACTGGGATTCCAGGTGTGCACCACAAGTCTACCTTTGACAGACACAAGCCTTTCTTCCTGAATGTTGTTTCTATGAATTGTTTATTTTTGTGTCAAATGTGAGCTATATTTATGCTCATCCAAATGCCAAGGTTTCTCATCCTAGTGAATGTAGTCTCACAGGACCCCATTTCAGTTCATGCTGTGTGAGGAGTGGGCATCTGCTCAAGGCAGCCTGTGAGTCTTGTTCAGTAGCTGGGATGAAAGTCCAGTCAGTCTGTGGGATGCCCTGTCCCTGCTACTTGGGGATCTCCTGTGGTTGGCCTAACCCAAGTTGATAGGCTTCCTGAGACACTGCAGGAGACTGCTCTCCCTGTCATCTGCCGACACCCAGAACTGTTCACTTGTTTTCAGAACGGTCTGTCTACTCATTTGCAGCCACCATCCATGTGTTTGCTAAGAAAATAGACCTGAGCCATGCTTTACTTGGGCTAGAGATTGGAAGCAAGCACCCAGCTTCTCTGGTCTGGTTTGGTTTGGTTTTTCAAAGTAGAAGTCCATCTTGGGGCTGAAGCTCAGTGGTAAAGCACTTGCCTAGGGAGTATGTGAGCCTCTTGGATCCTC